CGTATAATATGATGAAATGAAATTGAATGAAATCAAATATGTGCAGTATTGCTTTGGAAAGTGGTAAGCAGCGCAGAAATATAAAAAAAAAGTAGCTTTGTGTACAATGTGCCAAATATTTAGAGGGTTGTGCAGGACTGACGGTAATGACTTCAATCAGTGTTGGAATGTAGTAAAAATACATATACTCAAGTATCGTACTTATGTATTATTTGGAGGTACTTGTACTTTAGCGCAGTGGTTTTTTTGTAATGCTACTTACTACTTTTACTCCACTTCATGTATCTGTAGTTACTTTACAGATTCAGATTATTAGCTAATAAGACAAATACAAATCAATTAATAAATAAATATTTAAATATAATTATAGGTGAAAACACCTTTACCATCTGTAATACACGCTAATGCATCAATAATAATAACACTGTTGTATATGATTCAGAAATGGGCTATTACGCACAATGCATACTGACGGAACTATATATCGCCTTATAGTATTTAATACTTTTCTTGCTGTTTATAGTAAATGTATTCTTAGTTAGTGTTGTTATTAAAGTAGTTTCTATGCTTTCATGTTGAAGGCAGTTTTGGGCACTGGGTAATTGTATATATTGGTGGTGGTGTGAGTAGAGCGCCAGGGTGTTACAAGCCACCAGCAGGAAAGCCGTAGGAAAGAAACATATGAAACCTGTTCATTGTTCTATGTTAATGATATTAGATTGGAATAAAATGCACAAACGGAGATTCTTGTCTGGACGTGGATCATTGCCCTGCGTAAGATTCGCTAACTAGTGTTATTTTAAGTTAATTATCCGTTTTATTTCTATATGATTTTGGCCTCTACACATTTACTTGTGATACTTGAGTATATTCTGATTCCAATACTTTTACTTAGATTTTGAATGCACTTAGATGTAACAGAGTCATTTTGCTACTTGCTACTTGAGTATAACACCCGAGTACTTCTTCCAGCACTTCTTCAAATGAAAAGGAAACTGTCGTACAGTGTCTGTTCGCATTAACGTGATGCATAGTGTCTATGGAGGGGCTGAGGGTAAGTGGTCATCTCCAATCAGCTTCACAAGGAAAACATGATCATCATATTTATGAAATATCCAGGAGGGAGAAGTACTCAGATGTTGTACTTGAGTAAAAGTAGAAGTACTCAGATCTTGTACTTGAGTAAAAGTACTGAGATGTTGTACTAGAGTAAAAGTAGAAGTACTCAGATGTTGTACTTGAGTAAAAGTAGAAGTACTCAGATGTTGTACTTGAGTAAAAGTAGAAGTACTCAGGTCTTGTACTTGAGTAAAAGTAGAAGTACTCAGGTCTTGTACTTGAGTAAAAGTAGAAGTACTCAGATGTTGTACTTGAGTAAAAGTAGAAGTACTCAGGTCTTGCACTTGAGTAAAAGTAGAAGTACTCAGATGTTGTACTTGAGTAAAAGTAGAAGTACTCAGGTCTTGTACTTGAGTAAAAGTAGAAGTACTCAGGTCTTGCACTTGAGTAAAAGTAGAAGTACTCAGATGTTGTACTTGAGTAAAAGTACTCAGATGTTGTACTTGAGTAAAAGTAGAAGTACCAGAGTGTAGGAATACTCTGTTACAGTAAAAATCCTGCATTCAAAATGTTCCTCAAGTAAAAGTAGAAATGTATAAGCATCAAAATATACTTAAAGTACCAAAAGTAAAAGTAGTCATTGTGCAGATTGGTCCATTTCAGAATAATATATATGATATGTTTTATAATGATTGATCATGAAAGTGTTCTCAAAGCTGGTGAAGGTGCAGCTAGTTTGAATGACTTTGTATACTGCAGGGTAGCTTGTGGATTTACTCTTTAATTAATGTAATGCAGTGATTATGGAGGGGCTGAGGGTAAGTGTCAGTGGGGGTCCCGGGCCTTTTTAATGAGAAATAATATAATATAAGCTGTTATAATGTCAGGAGTTAGAAACAACAGGTACTGACCTCTTGTGGCAGCTACAGCCAAGACTAGACCGGCTAACACTAGCATCTCTCCTGCAGACACCATGGTGACTCTCTGTGGACAAAAACACAATGTTTTCAAGGTTCAAAAAGTTCAATGTCAGATCATAAACACAACTGCAGTGTAGAATAATATATGATATCATTGACATGTATTTTCTCCATTAACAAGCACAACTAATGTCATTTAACTGTACCATTGACACTGCGAAATTATAGCTACACAATATATAGGTTTACAAATATACAATTGTAATATAAACTGTGAAATTGTTGTTGTAGAGCCCCCAAACAAAACAATACTAGGTGATATTAGATGTGGTATTTTTTCTTTATAAACCCTCTTTTTTAACCTTTATTATGAGATGTAACTATGTTAAATGGAGATTTGTGACATCTTCAACAATGCAATATAAACATATAAAAGACTTTTCCAAAAAGGCACACTCAAAGGTAGCTTCAGTTCTGAGTAAAACTTTATAAACTTCTTCTCAGAAACCAGACATGGCGTAACGCCTAGGTAAGCTTGGCAGTTGTTCAGTTCATCTCCTCTGTAAACAGTGTTGCTTGAATAGCTTTATTCATTTCATTTCAAACCTTTATTTATCCAGATTGTCCCTTGAGATCATAGGTCTCTTTTTCAAGGGAGACCTGCAGCAATTAGGTTCCACATGAAACATAAAACTATAGAGGATATCATACAACATATTTACAAGCTACATTTACATACTTATCAACATTTACAAAATTATTATTATTGGTATTAGCTTGATAATAAAGTATTACTGTGTAAGCTAGCAGTTGCTAACATATCGTTAAAAAGCATGTTACCTAGTAGTGGCTAACAACGTATCGTTAGAGCTCAAAGTGTTGCGTATTTATTTAAGCTAATATTTAGCTCAGTGCCGCCCTGCTAACGCCATATTGTTTCCGCTATCAAAAGCTTCATAGTATAACTTACCCAACTGGCTTCAATGTTGGTGCGTGTAATCTCCGTTAGATCAATACCATATTTATGTATCGATAAAACCTTTTAATGGTCAAAACAAGAATTGGAGTGGTCATTTGTGTGTCGTCCAGTGAATCTGTGGAAGGTCCACCCACTTCCCGTCAATGATAGTCATGTCGCAGCAATGTTGCCAAATAACTCCTCGATCTCACAGCATAGGAATGGACAAACGTCTGGTGGTTGGGCGCGCGCCCTGCCGTTGAGAGTTTAGAGATCTGCTAAAATACTCGATGAACACCTACTGTTTTATGATTGGTCAAGTAAGCTGTCTGTCAAAAAAGTATGACAAATAGGAGGTTCCCTGTTCGCCTGTCTGGTCCCGCCCTCAGTGTTGTTTTCCAGTATGTCCCCGCCCTTGGTGTTCCAAAGAATACACGTGTGGTGCCAACACAGGTTAGTGGGCCTCTTGTCCTTAAAACAAGAAGGTGGGAGAAGTACTCAGATATTGTGCTTAAGTGAAAGCAGAAGTACCAGAGTGTAGGAGTACTCAGACCTTGCCAACGTGTCATCTCCAATCAGCTTCACAAGGAAACATGATTATCATATTTATGAAATATCCAGAGGAGGGAAAAGTACTGAGATATTGTACTTGAGTAAAAGTAGAAGTACTCAGATATTGTACTTCACTAAAAGTATAAGTACTCAGATGTTGTACTTGAGTAAAAGTAGAAGTACCAGAGTGTATTCTGTTGCAAGTAAAATACCTGCATTCAAAATGTTACTCGAGTAAAAGTAGAAAAGTTTTAGCATCAACATATAGTTACGAAAGTACTAATTGTAAATAAGTAGTCATTGTGCAGATTGGCCCATTTCAGAATAATATATATGATATGTTTTATAATGATTGATCATGAAAGTGTTCTCAAAGCTGGTAAAGGTGCAGCTAGTTTTAATGACTTTGTATACTGCAGGGTAGCTGGTGGATTTACTCCAGGTGGAACTAAAGTCTGATTTAACACTTGGTTATATTTACCATCATTCATCCACATCTGTAAAGTAACTAAAGGTATTAAATAAATGTACTGGAGTAAAGGTACAACCCACCACTTTCTAAAAATATAATTTGTTCTACTTTATAGAAGAAACACTTTGAGTAAGGTTTGTTTTATTTATCTTTTTTGTTTTTGTTCTAGTCAGTATATAGTGGTGTTACATTTATCTTAAGGGTAAGTGCTTGGCTTGCTATTCTTTTATTATTTACAATAACATAAATGGTGAAATGTAGTTCATGTATCCGCCCTGTGATTCATATCTGCAACTATTTCATTGGTTCTTCCTTTCCCCCACGCTACACCCTTCTGCCTAGTTTCACGCAAATCAGGTTTTCCATAATTCCCAGACAGTCTGACAAAGAGTAGAAAAAAACGTAGCTCCTTGGAAGAGGTAATTACTCTGAAACAATCACTGCAACGTGACGTGTTCGTGTGTGTTGATCATAGTTTGATAAGCGCTCTGGTGTAATGGTTTTGATTGGCTTGTTTGTGTTCTGTACTAACTCTGCTTTCATTTCAGACCCAGACACTCCCATTCTCCTGCTCTCCCATAGATTATCTCTAATTGTTGATGATCTCCACTCACCTGCTGCCCTTTCCCTCATCAGCTCACTAGTATATATACAGTTTATCAGAATATCTCATTTATTGTGTCATTTACTAAGCCTGCCAGTACTTGACTTCTGCTCAAGTTGTTGACCTTGGCCTGTTTTCCCCCGAGCTGCGAGTTAGCTTAGCCTTTTACCTGGTTTACCTTGGCTTATCTTTCCGTGCTCCTTTGTCTTTTACTCTGGTTTTTTTTCAAACCTGCCAGGGGTTGCTTGTACTTGACAACTGTATTATAACCTTCTGGCAGAGAGGTTAGCAGACAGGAAGTTGTGTGACATTTAAATGACCTCAGAGTGAAAGTCACAACATGTGCAATCTGATAATATTATGAAACCTTCGCATTTCAGGAATTCACTCATTTTTAAAAGATATAAAACTTTTATTCAGTAAGATCAGTCAGTATTACAGCTCCCAACTCTTTATTCAATTCAGCTTTTAGCATTTAAAAACAGTCTCACACACATTTCCTCTATTTTGGTGTATTTGGAAAATAACTCTAATGCTGACTTGCCTAAAAATGACCTAAATAACTGCCTAAAATGTGTGTTTTTTTTTAACATAATACAATTGTATTGCCCCAAAATTGGTAAGGAAGGTCGTATGAGAGTTAGTGTACGTCTTTGACATATCTGGGACATATCTGTAACACACTTTATCAACCAATAGAAAGACAACAAATACGTTTTCAAGTGCACATCAGAAACTGTTGGGTAAAGGAGAAATGTCATTTGTGTGTACTAGCAACTATCATGTTTTTATCATTACTGACTTAGAACTGCTGTGTCATGTTTTGGTCAAAACAATTGTTAAGCAACAACTTCTCTTGATGTTATTGTTTGCTATGACTTCCACGTGCACACACAACCTTTTTTATTGATGACAGGATCCTTCTGATGACCTCCAACAGTTTCTAATGCACACAAAATAGCTCTTAGTTTGCATAAAGACACTTGGTAGGGGCTCCATAGATCTAGTTCTGAACCAATCGTCACATCTGATGTGGTGTGCTGGGAGCTGAGGAGAGCTCTATAGATTGTTGAGCTCCAGGAGGGTTTGGTCCAACACCTGGTGCATGTCCAGGTTCTCCTCTTTGGCCTGGGTCAGTTTCTCTGGAGGAGGGAACAAAGCCACACGTGAGTTTCCTGTCTGGACCTGGAGATGCGTCTTCTAAACCAACAGTGTGTTTGCACTGTCAATGCATTGTTTACTGTACAAGGGTTTGCCAAAAACACAAGAAGCGCAATCTGCTGGTAAAAGAGAATCCTGTTAAGCCCCAAGGTCCCCGCCGGCGGGTACTTTAGTTTTTTTTTTCACGACACTGTGTCTCAGAGGATCTTAATATTTAAGAACCTATTAATGTGGTATACCAGATTAACGGGAATAATCTCAGCTAACTGACAATACAAACCATTTTTACCAACAACAACCTAACAAAACACAAGTCTCATAAGAAGCATCTAAATGACCCCTGAGCGAAAAATGCTAACCTATTACTGCACCGAAAATCACTCCTAGCTCCCTTATTACTTATCCTAGGTGCACATCCAACACATCGTGTATGATCGCAAGGAGACACAGAATCTAACGGTACCCACCTCAACACTGAAAGATACAAACTCGCGACATTATCAACAAAAACGTACATCAAAACAAGTGGCACTAGGTAGCCCACAACGCTAACATGGCTTACCTTCGTCTTTGTCTGGTCTAAACTGGTCTTCAATGGCATTAAAACGATAAAAACGATGCTGTAGTTAATCCATAGGTTAATATCCAATGTGTCTGCATCCCCTTTGAAATGTTCTGATAATCTATAAGCAATAAAACAGCTTTTCCGTTGCTTGATATCAGAGCAGCGATATTTCTCCCCTCTGCTGCAAGCTAGCATGCGCAGAGACGCTACCTTTTTTTTTAACATGAGTGTGTGCGGGACGATTTCCCTTGGATTATATTGGCTCTGATGGTCAGAAAGAAATGTCACATGTCAAAATCGAACAAGGGGGGCAAGAGATATGGAAAATCCACCCAAATGACCCCAGAAGAGGGTTTTTTTTTGCTAAATCTGTCTAAAAAGGTCAAATATCACTTGTTTTGCATCAATCTTGATACAGGGTACTTATTATATGTTGTACTTTGGATTCCTAAAGCTTTTAGTCTACTAACCCATCATCCAAGGTTAGTTTTCACTATAAGTACAACATATATTTTGGACGGACACTATAATTTACAGTTTTTTACCATGTTCAATCTGAATTTTCTTTAAATAAAAAACATCTATATTGATTCTGACTTTTCTACATCCAACTCACAGGTTTATCATTACTTTGAGAACAAAGATTATTAATGTAACCCTTTTAGAAGGGAAGATATGGTCATTTGTTCTGGGAATGTCATTTTCGAGCCTGAAACCTGAAAAACAGGCTTGGGGCCAAACAGAGGAGATGACATTTCGAGAGCACCCTAAACCTGCTTTGATTTTACTACTACGCTTTATTCTACAAAATTGATTCTTATGATTTTCTGATCCCAGCTAGTTTGCTGAAAAAAACGGTGTCATTTAGCATTTATTATACTGGGGTTGCATGCAATGATAATTCTCATTATTGATAACATTACAATTGATCATTTAACCAGTAAGTACAATAATAATAGTAAATGTATCAATGGCAAAAAGTTGCATAGAGCTTAGTATTTCAGTAATGATCCAAAACACAATATGACATACAAAATAAAATAAAAGATGACATCAAACATTGTTTAAAAGTTTAGTCACTTACCAAAATGGGCAAAAGGTGAAATAGAGACAATAGTTTTTAGTCCTTGTTGACTTTATCTATAGTTACATTATGTAGATTTCCAGAAAAATCCCTTTAATACATTTCAATGGAAAGAAACATTCAGT